TAAGAAGATAATCAGCATTACTATACTTCCAGCTGATTAGGCTTGGGCCACACTCGTCCACTTCCAAGATCTCAAACACGAAGTCTAACGAGATATGAAGCTCCTGCGAAATCATGTTAAAAAGCTCAACACTATCTAAACTTGTTGATTTGTTGCGGTCAGGCCTATCACAGACTTTCACCATCGCAAAAATGTCATATACGCGATGAAACACAATTATTTATGGCTCAGTAGTAGAACAATGGCCTCGTAACCGGAAGGTCCCTGGTTCGAAACCAAGTCAATGCGCTCATGCCCTTTGCATGGCTATACGTCCGTATGCTCTTAAAACTATGGGGAGAAACCTTTCCCAGCACGAGGTTGATTTTGTATTCAACCAACTTTGGTTATTTTCTTTACCCAACATGATAATATATCGTCCAATTATGGTCAAAATATAGAATATTTACTAAGTTGCTATTAGAGAAAGTCGTCGATCTCTTGGCTGCTAACATACATGTTTTCTTAGCAGTCAAGAAAAAAAAAAATCATCTCTCCATATACGATATTCAAGTTATTGGAAGTTCCTTTGGTTTCGCAAAAAAAAAAAAAAAAAAAAAAAATTGTTTTACAGGTCTTGATTGTTGGCGGTCGCCCGAAATATTTTTATTATGTCAAACATTTTGGATAAATCGACTTTGACGAAATTTCATGTATGATGATTATGCCAATTACATGTTGTTGGTGACATTCTTAGCTCGTGTTGTTTATAAAGTGCCCATATATACGTGCTCAACATTATATCTCACGTCCAAGTTACGCTGATACAAGACACGTCTCTCAAAATACTAAATAGATTAAGGGAGCGCTATCAAAAACAACAAAACAAAACAAAAACGTGAAAGGGAAATGTCCGGCGTACGAGGTTCGAAGCCCGCATGATGTTTGGGATACCGTGGGCTCCTGTGGTTGCCAGCCGGCTGTTGATCAAGGCACTGATGGCAACATCATGGGTTACGGGATGTTGTCTCTGTTTAGGAACTCCTCTCCCGAGATGTTTTTCTCCGAATATCGTTGAAACCATCCCCGGTGATGTCGCATCGAAAGGGTCTTCAGCTTGTGGATCAGTCGGTCCATCCATTGAAACAAGATTGTATGCAAAATTTCATCAAAATGTTGAGAAGTTATTCTGCAGAATCCTCTTGGCTAGTGCGTTCATCGAGGAAAGAAAACAACGTAAAGAACCCTTCGTTTGAATTGTTTCCATCCAGGAATGCTAGATGGCAGAAACAATCATACAATCGAGTCAGGAGTTTTTAAAAAGCTTTTCTCGAAATCTTTTTTTATCAATCCGAGAACCTACTTTCTAGGCAATATGACGCATTAAGACAAATTAATGCACATCCTCTTTTTGGCTATATTATTGATTCTTAACATCATCTTCCCAAGACTTCATACAGCATCTTGAAAGAAACTATATCAGGCAACTTCTCGACGAGACATCGTTTGATGAGAAAGGGGAGACAGTCATTTTGCAAAGTAAGAAACTATTGGAGACTACCTGACCAGGTTACGTAGTTCAGAATTGACATGATTGGCAAAAATCACTGTTTTGCTCCATGACGACATCCAATGCAACCCAATTTTACAAAATATCCCCGACGTCGAACGCACCATCAAAGTTATCAAGCTCGTAAATCCTCCTATGACAGGGACCAAATGTTGATTCGGACATCATGATGGTAGAATATTTAGACGTTATGTAAGAATTTGAGACCTGTCACGTAACATGTCGCATTCCATTTGCTTCACTATGATTAAGATTGATGATTAAAGGCATTTCTATAGCGCCGTCTATCTAGAAATTCTATTCCGAGGCGCATTAATTATTACTATGTGAATTAGATGCCAACCATAACCGTTTCATAACGAGAGACCCTGATTTATTATTGACATGGAGGTACTTGAACTTCGGAGGACAATAGGGATCATTATCGTGACAAGCCAATGATCGATATTTTATGTAGAGTGGCTATTTTGCATGCATAACTATAAGTGATTGGGCAATTAATTAGATTTTCCCCATGTCGCGGGCTGCTTTTGAATGTAGTGAAATCTGTTACACGGCTTTGAAAGTAAAGGTTAACACAGATCATCACGGTCTTATTTTCCGTTATTTTTAAGAGTATTACATTAATCTTCGTTAAAATATACATCTTGAGTTGAGCAAATAGAGTAAATAAGGGTTTGTGTAACGCACAAGAAAGTTCTTAGATAATTTGCATTCAAACGCTATAAAGATGATGGCGCATTGTAGCATTGTAGGCCACATCTTGCTTCGGTGCACTGTCAAATTTTGTCAACTTGTTAAACATTTCCTTGGAATGGCTCAAACTAACTGCTGTTTGTGATACAAAAATAACATGGATATGATATTAATTATAAGGACATCGATAAGGGCCCATTAAATCTGATAGTACATCCCACGTTGTCATCAAAGCACTAAATTCCACCACCCTGCGTAGAGATGCGAGGCTTGACTGCATCGTTGCTCTATCGCGAAATCTCTTGCTGGGTGGGTCTGTAAATTTCCTCTTTTGAAAGAAGAAGTCAAATGAAATGAAGTCAGAAAATCTGCATACATTCCCAGTCCGGCTGAATGATGACTTGATTGTGCATACATGAGATTTCTATTTTAACTCATTCATAATTTATTGATATTAGAACATTCGAAAATTATTCCAATATTATTTCCAAATTGGCAGCCATGTAAGATATTCCCTTGTATAATACAGAAAAAGAAAAGCGATATATATATTCATACGTAATGATAATTGGAAATGCAAATAAGAGAATAATGGTACGTAGATCTATTATAGCCCACCCCTCTCCTTTGCTGTCCCCCCTTTTAAATTTTCTCAAAGGTTGAACAAAATTCTCGGCCGGGAATTAGACCCGGGACCTGGCTTAGAACGTCACGGAGAAAGGCCAAGAGTATCGGCGAGACAATATTCAAATGACCGTCATTTTGGCAAAGCTTCAACCTTTATTAATCCATTAACTAATATTTTGTTAATTCTTAAACATTTTAAATGAGTAATAGCCACTTTAAAATGAAACAAAACTTGTTTACTCCTTACTCGGGTAATACTTTTTTTCTTCAAGTAGAAGCCTATAACAACCTATTTATTCAAGAAATGTGGCAACCAACATCCTTCTTTTGCCTAACTATTTGGAAAATAGATCAACAGTAGGACCCATATAGAATACTCAATTTATACTCTTCCCACTGGAGATATCGTCCGACATCATGGTATTAATTCTCATCTTTATGCTGATGACATACAGTTATATGTTTCCTGTGATCATAAGACAAAGGGTGTTTCACAAATCTCCTTAGTCGAACTTAAAAATTATGGAGAGCCATCTGTAGCCTTAAAATTAAATATTTCCAAAAGCAAATATTGAAGTATTTTAGACTTTTCATAAATTCCTAATCAAGAACATAAAATCTCCTTGATAATAGAAAATATGAATGATTTGAATCAACATTTTATGCCTTTTGAAATAACTTTTACAAACAATTTTCAATGATGCTAACGGCTTTTCATAATTTTTAAGTCCAACTTACAGATAAGTTCAACTTATCTTTTTGAAACACCCCCTGGAGCTCTCGATAATGCACTTATCAAACTTCAACGTTTTATTTCAGATCAAGAAGTTACCAGATATAAGGCAATGGATGATAGTAATTAAGCAAAAAGTAAATGATGCAAAGACTACAATCTGCGCAGTCTTCCAAATGTTCAGTTTGATGTTGGTGGCACACTCATTAACCCTCAATACAATAAGAACCCTTGGCGTTGTATTTGATTATTGCATGTCGATACATCACCATAATCCTCACATCTGTAGTATGGTTACGTTTTATTTAAGGAATATTACTAGAACCAGAAGGTTCATTGACCAGCCAGTCTGCCTGTCATAATGATGTGCGTTCTTTAGTCCTATCCCGTATTGGTTATTGTAAAGGGCTTCTCTCTACAATTCCCTCGACTAAATTGGATCGTGTGCAACGGCTAAAGAAAAGGGCAGCCAGATTGGTATTTTATGTATCTAGGGACCATCTATCTCAGCCACTCTTGAGATAATTACACTGGCTTCCTTTGAAACAAAGAGCAATTTTTAAATTACTCTTGTTGTCTAAAAAAATACTCAATAATAATAATGATAATAATAATATATATATATATAGCTTCTACTATGTTATGAGGATTAATGTATATCCGTTTTGTTTAAAAGTGTAAAACACGTAATAATGATGCTCTGAACGTGAGCTTTACCGCTGATAATAAAAAACATAGACTGTTTCGTAATGTAGCATGTCTACAGGGGGATATGCTCAAAATGTAATAGCGAAAAGATTGAGAGAGGAAAAGAAAAAGAGAGAAAGATATAGGGAGGGAGGGAGATTAGAAGGGAAAGTTGATCACGTTGATGGGACCCTTCCCATCAACGTGATCAAGTTCCCCTAAATGGTGTTGGTAAACAGTCATCGTATTCTGGGAGTGAATTTCCTGAGGATTTAAAAAAAGGTTCTACCACAATCTTTGGCGACGATAGCTTGGTGGTCAGTCGCATGCACTAAGCCGAAAGCTTCAATTTTGTATAACGCTGGTTGTTTAACCGAGACCACTTCTTGCTCTGGACTACTGACTGGTTATATACAGAAGGTTGACAAATGTAAGTTTTATGAGAACAAAATAACGGTTATTTCTGATTACCTTAGGCTAAGCCCTATATCTCATCCTAACCATTAACCTAATCCTAACCTAAAAACATATATATTTTACGAAATAGATCCGTGATTAAAATGGCGCCGAGTGAATATCAGGTCGCCTTAAAATGAAGTAACGGAATTAAGTTGTCTAAAACAGTATCTGGTAATGACAGGGTTATGATAAAGTCTCTTTAACATTTGGAAAGATGAAACTTTATATGAAAATAAGAGAAAAAATCACCCTCATGGACGCTCCTGCATCATTTTGGTTTTGCGTCGCATTCATCACACCGGAGGGTTTCTGTGCCGGTAGAAAATCCCTGAGTGAAGTCGCATCTTCCTCGTTCGAAGCAATATTCCAGAGAACATCAGCCTTTGACAAAGGGACAGGGTTGAGGTTGCAGACGGTGATGGCAGGAAACTTGATGGCACGCTGTCGGACGAAGTCTATGTTGACGTCGACTTCGTAAGCGAAGAAGTTATTGATGATGGTTGTTAACTGCCAGACGACCACGGTCACGCCACCAGTGAAGAGCAATAGCCAGATAAGTCGGCGCCAGATGTTCGAGGCACGCTGGATGTTCGGGATGCCGTGGGCACCGGTGCTGGCCATGCGATTCCCGACGAGAAAGAGAACGCTGTTTTCCTCTTCTTTCGACATATTGAAGCTGGGCTGTTCAATGGGTGTTGCGCTTTCCTTGTCTAGTGATTTGAAAGCTGTCACAGGTTTGCTTGGTGCATCGTACCAAGCTTCCTTGGCTTGTTGGGCCATCCTTGGTATTTGGTTTCACGAAATCAGAAACAAAATCCTGACAATGAAGGCGAGGCCTCTTCAGTACTTCGTATCGATGGTATAATTTCTCAAATTACCGAAATATGATGTCAATTAGTTTGTTGACATGTTACTAAGCTTTCTGATACCGCAGCCTTCACACAACTTGAACTTGATCCCTGAGGAAAATGTATTTAATCCTTGTTCTGTTCATACAACAGTAGAATGGGTCTAGCCTGTATGAGTCTGAAAAAGAGTTACATATTGAAGACATCAAACTCTATGAATAATATGCAAATCGAATATTGGTCTTTAAAACGTCTTGCGATGTACCGTTACAGTTACAATCGTAATAAGATGAGTAGCTCGGATAATGAACTCCTTGTTCTGCCTCCTCAAGAAAAGCGATGATCCAATAAATTTGATGATTATTTCTTCTCTACGAACAATATCAAAATATGTGTGGAGTTCCTTTAAAACAGTCTGAACAATTCGAGTATTTGAATAATATCCTGGAGTATTTCAGATGACAACATTTAAAAACGACGATTTCCTTATCTCCATTTGAAATAATGGCATCACCTATAACTAAACAGTATCAGTCGCGAGCTTCGGGTTAAGATTTCTTTCAAAAGGTATACAACTCACAAGCATTTCTGATTTTGGAATGGGAGAATACGACGTCTGGATTGCACGTCATAAAATTTCAATTTTTGATTTGTGTCACGAACTTGTTGGACGTTCGGCGGACCGCGCGAATACTTGCGTATAGACCCCGTTACTATCAATCATGGATGACAGTAGTTATATATAATGCCGTGATAATCCTCATAAAAAGATATACCCCACTCTCTCTCAACTGACTGTTTGTACAACGTGCAGCGTAGGTCTAACCGCTTTCTACGATTCGCTTTTTTGAGATTATCTGCTCGCCCAACCGCTAAATTAAGCTCTAAAATCTCATATAATTTGAGTACCCTTGTTCAATGAGCCGTAATGAATTGCAATTAAACGGTGATTTTGGAGTGGGTTCCAAATAGATGAGAGATTGAGAGAGAGAGAGAGAGAGAGAGAGAGAGAGAGTAGGGGAGGGAGAGAGAGAGAGAGAGAGAGAAGGGGGGGGGGGTCGAGACTGAAATAAGAGTGAAAATGCCTTGATTGGGCTCCGAACAAAAAGCACTGTAAATATTGAGTGATTATATGACCCATAGTATAATTGCCATTCAGAACCCGTCTAACACTCTTAGCTTAATTGCTGAACGAGTTCCTATGGTAACGTTACTTCCGATACACGGATTATCTGATCTGATTCCGATTTTATTCGGATTTTCGGATTTTCCGAGTCAAGTCAGTACGTAATATGTATAGCATTTAGATGCGGATCATTAAGTGACCAAAACTTTCAAGTATTCCATAAATAACACTTAGGGGCATGCACCTGCCGTACATGATCCTCGGTTTCAATGTATACAACCAGGTTTTAAATGTTACGTTATACATTTAAACTAATAATATATAAACAGAAAACGCATGCTAACTCATCAAAACTCATCTAACCCAAGCGATGCTGTGCAGGCAACAACTGCATGATGGTGTGCACGTCGTTAGCCAATTTGGGGCGTTTTTGTGTAGCATTTTCAAGACAAGACGGAAAAAATCAAATCAAATCAAATTGAGTGTAATCATTGCGTTTCGTCTGTTTGGAACAACAGATGGTTACCTCGTTCATTTTTACACGAAGGTAAAACTAGGTTTCAAACTAACGATATATGAATAGATGTTAAAGATCTATAATCATTACCCCCTTCCTTTCGCTTCTGATTATCCCAGAGTTAGAAAAACAAATGTGGAACAGAAGTTATCATAGAATTTCATAAAATGAAATAGTAAATGGCACAGTATTATAATGTAGAGTAATAACATGCATTCACACGCGAGGGCAAAGGGGAGAAAGGATTATCACAATTATCACAATTTTCAGAGCAATGATTCGCCAACGGTTTTTGACTTCCCTCCATTTTTAGTTCGAATTCAAACTGAAATAATCCTGGGTTGTTCATGGCAATGTTCAAATTATGCTCGAATCTCCAGAAGGGAATGACAAATTTGTTTAGCTACCAAACGTTCATTATAAATCTACTACCCATTATTGATTATGGAACTTTCATGGAACACAAAATATTGTAATTAACATTTACCCTCTGGCCCGCAATATTCTGCTACAATTTAAACCCGACGCTGGGCTTAAGCTCTTTGTTCAAAATCGAGTTTAATAAAAGGAAGTTGGTCGCAAGCGTAAGTTATTCTTTATTAAAAGCGATCATAGACCCGGTGTCGGGTTTAATTAAATTATTAGAATATAATGTCCGTATTAGAAATGCAAAGCTACGTAATCAAAATTACGTACAATAATTTGCAGTGACGTTGGAGGTCGGTACCTGGTACGACACGTACAGTAGTTAAGTGCCCATTTTCATTCTTTACAATGAAAAATAATCGGAATATTAACTTTCCTCAAGATACGAGCAACCACGCGATGGGACGAGTATATGACTCCTGACTTTAACGATGGCATTGTTTACTTTCTAATACTAATAGAACAATGTGCAGTTCCAATCAAATGTTTACGTACGGACGAGAACCAGAAAATCAAGATGGAGGTAATAGGGAGTGTCTCCGTTGAGGTCCTCCATTAAGTTGAGTGCTCGACGGGGCTTTTCAATTATGACCATGTTAATATAAAGAGAAGGTTGAGTTCTGGGAAAGGTGCAAAGTAACTTGTAAGCTTTGTCATTCTTTTTATGGCAGTGCGGAAGAATATCAAAGAAATAAAATGTTAATGAAAAAGGATGGCGCTTTAATTAAATGCCTTCATATTCGAAATATGACGAGTGAGAGCAAAATTTTATGAACCACAACTTCATGCCGCATGTTTGTGTAGTTCCATCTACAAATTGTGCAAGTTATTCTTAGCGTGGAAGAGCACATTTATTATAATTTTGATGATTCCAAAACCTCACAGCATACACCAATGCTTATGTGCTACACGGATGTTCAACCTTTCCAATCGCTTGCACTCAGTTTATTTCACATTGCAACTGCACCACCAGAACTTAACTTTTTCTTTACATACGATTAAGGAGGTTTTTTTCTTCTTCTTTCTTTTGTATTAAACCATTTGACGCTCTATCAACAATAATCATGTGTTTATTTAACGCTTTAATGGCAGAGCGCTGTAATGGGGATCTCTAATCTCGTGTGACGGAGGCCAATTTGCATGATTGACGCATAGGTCAAACCTATGCGTAATGCAAGCGAGACGCCAATAAGTGGTTCGATTAAAAAGGATTCAATTAAGCCACAAACAAAAGATGGCCGCACACGAAGTGATAGACTAATGATCATCAAACCCCATTGGTTTGGTATATAAATTATTCAATGAGTTGTTTCGCCAGTGTCCCGTCGACGCCGAGTTTTGGACAAATCGGAAGCGTTGCGTCTGTACCTGTCGAGACTGGATCATGAATTGTCCTGTGCATGTGTGTGCCTGCATGTCCTTGATTGGCGCGCTGGACTTGACGCTTCGTGTCTAACGGATTTTAGGGACTTTTAGATTTGCACGTCGACATAGTGGACTGCTACGTGTGACGTCCTTTTTAAGGCACTGCGATGTCCTTTTAAGGCACCGCCAGTGCCTTAAAAGGACGTCACACGTAGCAGTCCACTATATCGACGTGCATATCTAAAGGTACTTATTTTGCTTAGGTGAACTGCAGGAGACATGTCAAGAAAGTTTTATTGGTCTTGTTCATCTAAAACTTTAAAACGGTCATTTTATATCTTGGGTCACATAGTATTTTGGGACTGCTTTTAAATAAACAGTATGTGCGAGGGAATCATAGATAGAGCCATTAATACCTAAGAAAGGAATTTAGTCGTGTTGCTTTGTAAATGATCCACAATAATCACTCTTAATAAATTGATAATGCTTGAAAATGATATTCAAATGAGCAGTTTAGCATGACAATAATTAGTTAATTGCATGCTCGCGTTAGACTTAATTACACCCAATTCAAGTGTCATGATTCATTAGCGAGTCTGGTCGTACCAGGCGCTTCAATGCGCAGACAGGCAGAATAATCTGGACATTGATGTCTTTACATAGATTCATCCCAGTAGATAACATTGAAAGGAATAATATATTGTTCTGAGGCAGGGGCTATTTCCTCAAGTATATTTGCCTGGAAGTGGTTCATTAATTAGAAGAATCGCCAGTACCAGCAAGCGCGGAGGATTGGCTGTCATTGATGTGTTTTTAAAACTTTGGTTTTAATAGGTGAAGCCTTGTGCCTGGCGCCGCAAATGAAAACCACGTGACGTCAGTATATAGACCAATCACCGCTCAGGCAATACGAAGCTCAAATACTTTGCTTTTAGAACCTTGACCATACTGACATTTGTAGATTTCTGATTAGCTAATATGTCTTGTGAATACATGTATCCCATTTTAAAGGCATCGTTTAACAATGTTAAATCTGAGATGCATGGCCCTACGTGTTTTCAGTGTCTGTGACATGGTGTGATTATTGAAGCCCTAAAAAAATGCGCTTCAATATGATTAAGAAGTTTCTTAAAAAAAGTAAAGATCTTTGAGTGACCGGTGTTACCGTACTCATTTTCCACGGTAGACTGTAGTGTTATCAAAACCGTTAGGAAAACGAAAAATTAAATTTCGATTTACAATCATAAATATCTTGATAATCAGACAGGCGATCTGCTTGAAAAATTCATGGGATTCCTGACTGTCCCAAAGGTTTATAACTATGAATGCAGTATGAGCTAAATCCATGATTTTGTTTCAGATTCTGAGGCAATGTTACTGAGTCAGTTTAATGTCTCGATTTTCTGGATTTTCAAACAAGGATTTCAAGTTAAATCTGTTAAATTCAGTTTCTTTATCGCATTTTATGTTAAAGAAAGATGCCCTTCCACACAATTTTGCGATTTGTGATATCCATGAAATTTTCAAGAAGGTAATATAAAAAGTGAATTTCATAAAAGTTTTCGAAATAGAGATTTCTCGTATTGAACGCATACAACTATTATACCGACCTCCTAATTTAGAAACGAATTTTAGGGCTTTTGTGCATGCTACTCAGTATAGATGCGCACATGCTATGGTGACCTTCTAACGAATTCCCGATGCACACATAAAACACACTAATGGTTTGTTGCCAAGATCTTAATATTAAGTTTAGCTATTTCATTAGCAAAGGAGAAAATGGCGAAGATCCTTTCTGATTCATACCCAGCCCAACCTTAAACGTTCATAATATCATTTTCTTTACTTTCGACAGGAATACATTGCCTACATGACACGTGTTTTGTCAAGAAAATGGCATTTGCAAATATTGCCGACAGCAATGCGATATTTCTCATTTCACAGATGAATGGCAATGCGATTTGAGGTGTAATTGCCTTTCTGAAATGGTCAAATTGACTCAGAAGAATGTAAAATATCCTCAGTTCTTTTCTTTATCTCAATGTATTGGTTGATTATATTCTTATGATTAAATAGTTATGAAAATAAATTATTAAACAGTATACAAGATTATTTTCTTTTTAATTAATGGATGCATGGACCAGTGAAAACAGAGAAACCAAGCATAATAATTTGCCTGCTTCTAAAAGAATTCAAAATGCAATCGAAGTATTCTCACTTGACTACAAACTACTTGAGAGTACATGACACCAAAGATATCATATTTTACATTTTTATATAGTTTTTGAAGAACAATATTGTTTGTCATGATAACAATGCATTCCAAGATTGTCTCGTTCTTCATCGAATTTTTTCATAAACATAAAAACAACTTTTAAAAATGTATAAATATTAAAATATTATTAATACAGTTTTTAGTGACCATTTGCACACAAGGAAAAAAAAAAAAAATCAAGAAAAAAACTTTGAATGTTTGTATGTATCATGTAATAGGGCTATTTATTGCATGATATGCAAAGGCATGTCATTATGAATCAATTATGTCATGTACACTTATGTATGTTTTTTGTTGTTAGGACTGTCTTGGGACAAAACATTCCAAAACAATGCATAGTTTCATTGGAAGGAAGAGGAAAACCTCCGGTAAAAGTTTTCCAAGTAAATAATGAAAAGTGAGTCGCTGGTCAAACGTCACATTAGTTGAAAGGCAGAGTTCTTGGGATTATCCCTGGAAAAGAAGCCTTATGCTCATAAAAGGTGAAGGGAAACGATGAATGGGGAGAAATGTAAACATCCACCGGTCAGACATTTCCAAGAAGAAACACAATTTTGTTTTTACATGGTCCTTCCGGCTGGTAGGAAGTAGAATTATTTCAACCAATCAGGTGCAAGTTGCAAAATGAGTGACCAGGCACAAGCCAATAAAATGTGGAGGGGGCGTAGACTTCCAAACTATTTCTAAGAATATTAGTCACCCAAAATCGTGACAATTGGGTCTATGGGGGAAATTATTATAAATACAACTAGACTGTCAATTCCAATTCAGAAGCTGTTGAAATTTGAAGGAGAAACTACTTGTTTGAGTACTGTACCAAGTATTACGAGCTGTTCGTCACAAATTCACTAAACTAAATTCAGCTCTCGGTAAATATGACATAGGTGTTGTAGAGGACAACCTGATAGTCCAGGTCTTGTGATTCCATGAAATTGGACAATTTGGAATCAGTGTAAATCTTTAAACACCAACTAGAAGTTGTGAGCACTCATTTGTGTTTAATTTTACTTATGTCTATAAGTCACGTATTATTATTGCGTTATAATATACATGCAGAAATTATTTTGATATGCTTGAAATAAGTGGAGTAGAATATTAGCGCATTAATTAATTAAGAGTGTTTGTGGTAATATCACATTGAAGATTCAGAAAAAGAGAACGCTCTAAAATCATGACAAAGTGGACCTTGTGAATGTAACTGATTTTTGGAAGAAGTCTTTATTAATAATGAATGCCAAGTACACCAGATTGCGAAGTGTATATGTAACATGTCAAGAGCTTCTTATATTGTATTAATATAATGTTAAAGCCCCTTCAAAGTGTTGGGAATCCCAGATTCGCTAACAAATCTGATGTAAAAAAAAATCACTTAAATAGTGTAATGATGTGAAAGAGGATGTCATATTATACACTCAAGTCTGCAAGGATTTTCAAAACAAATCTGTTTGAAGACGAATAATGATAAGAGAATACAAAACTCGTGCTTTATGTTGTACACAGAAAACCTATATTTTTGTACTCTTTCATCAATATTCGTCTTCAAACACATTTATTTCGAAAAACCTTGCAGAAGTCAGTGTTAGTACTGAAATGACATCTTCTTGACCTAAATTCTACAATTGAAATGAATGTTTGCCATTAAAACAATTTTGGGCACCTAACACTAAAGAGAGGCTTTAAGAATAAAGATGTAATTATAGATTGAACAAATTACTAGAAATCATTTATATTTATATCTAATTTGGCAGGGTGGTAAGGATGTATGTTGCTGTACTGTAACTGGAATTAGGCTGACAGGATGGTACCAGTGGTCCAGGTCTATCCAGCGACAAGGGTTGACGTCAGACAGACAGGTCGTCGACAGGACACTCCAGAAACAGGAGATACACAAACTAAAGACATAGCTAAGGATCTACATTAATCAGTGAATTATATTATTCTTCTGTTCAAGTCCCATATGTTTGTAATTTATTTATATTTTCTCTTGTAACCATTGTTAGGAATAGTTTACATTAATAAAGGTTTATTCAACTAATTATTTGTGTAAATTAGTGTTCTGTTTGCAAGGTTACCAAAGTCTTAGTGGCAATACCATCAATGCAATAGCCAAAGATCCCAGCCGCAAGGTGTTGCACGATTCCCACCTGTAGTGACAATATTGTGACCGCATTTCCAAATTGTGAGGGGGGGGGGGCCTACGTCTCCCAAAGTACCCCAACGTAGGTCTTCGGCCACATGGGTTGTCTCGTTTAATTCCGCCCTTACTTTGAACCCATTTACATAGATACGCAAATCCGAATTAATTAGCATTAGCCACGAACTAATGTTCCTCTTTCTCCTCGCAAAAAATGGGAAATAGATTCGATCAATCATATATAATATAAATGCTCTTCCATTAAATTGGTTATTTCAGATATATTACTAACTGCCCTTACCCTGACCGGTAAGGTGTCGTTTAGTTGCAGGTAAATCCGGTAATCTGAGTGACCACTTCATCTTGATCATGTCGGGGTCAAGCATATAATCATCAGATTTACAGGGCTACTTTGATCTATCAATTACGGGTGATCGACCTTCACTTCGCAAAGGCTTGGCGTCTGCTCGTGCATGTTTCCAACACATTCGGCATAATTGGCCATTAAAAAATGAATCAGAGTATAGAGATATGCCAGGGAAAACAGTTTTGTTATGTTAACAAAGCTTAGTGGGCTATCCTGCCATTCATTATATTCTTGATTTTATATGTACTTTTATTTTTTTTATTTACTGTTTTTTACATGTCATTTGGAAAAATAAATACCGACCATCAATTTTCAAAATTAACCGTAGCTTTTAAAAAAGGTATATTGTTTTCAGATATCTGATCAAATCGTAGCATTAAGATAATATCAGATATGCTAATTTGAAGGGGGAAATGTGATTGTTTATCGGTCATAATAATTACGCACCTTTTTCTAGTCTAGAAACTTGTGTGTGTGTGTGTGTGTGTGTGTGTGTGTGTGCGTGTGCAGGTGTGTGTGTTGGATAGGTGGTGGGTGGGTGTGGGTGTATTTAATTTTGAGCAGGTGTAGTGGGTTTTCTACCTTGTATTTCTGAGGACGAGGCTGAAGTAAAAAGTTTCTTCCATGAAAAGGGTTGATGATACAAAATAATTTTGTACGGCAAAATAAGAGAAAATATTATGCAGAATACGAGTTTGGTGCGTCATTATGGCGTGGAAGCAACAAGATTATTTGTCGACCAAAGAGGTCAATCAAAATGTAAGCCACGTACCCTTTCTGTTGAGGATGCTTGTGTTGCCGTCCCGGTAGGACCTGGAACTACTGACGTCGCATTAACCCCATCGTTTCCATTGGCATTGTAAGTCACGCCCACAGCTTCAGCAAACTCCTTGGAGAAAACACTTGCCTTCGAGCTGGCGTACGAGTTCAAATTACAGACGGTGATCGCAGGAAATCCTATTTTGCTCGCGTAGAGCACGTCCAAGCTCGTAATGACCTCGTAATCGGTGTAGGCATCGATGATCATCACCATCTGCCAGAAGAATACTGCCATAGCACCCACAAAGAGGACCGACCAGAAGATTCGTTTGGACATAGAATTAGCTCGGGCGATGTTCGGAATACCGTGGGCTCCAGTGTTCTGGATCGCGGAACCGATCAGGATGTAGGCGTTCATTCCACCCAGTTCCTGGTCTTCACCAGACGATTTGGTCCTTCTTCGAGGTCTCTGTAATTCGCGCCCGTCCTCTCGATATTTTTCATGGCGTACGCCTTTTACTCCAGCCATTTCTGTAAAATATAAAGATGAAGATGTGTTTACTGTAAAGAACACTATTATGAGATCTTATTCTTAGAAAATATTAGAAAGAGCAATGATCTTATTGAGATCATGCTAATCCTGATCTTCTGCACACGACATGGTCCTCCTACGATGTCTCTGCAACTCGCGTTCATCCCAATGAATATGTAACTGACGTACGCCTTCCACTTTTTCTGTAAATCATAAAAACATGCAGATATTTAGAACTTCTGCAAAGAACACTACTAGGAATTCGTATAGATATATCGTTTAAAAAAACAGGTAAAGTTCTGACAAGGACTAATGATGTCATTCAGGTCGTAATCCTAGTCTTCTGCACACATTGTAACTCTCTATCGAGGTCTCTGCATCTCACGTTTGTTCCATCGATATCTTTCTCGACGCACCTACTGATCCATCCATTCCTTTTAAAATAAAATTAAAGGAAGAAATACTTTTGGCATATTGGAAAGAAAACTGGAAAATGTGTTATTTTCTTAGAAAAATGATTACAGGGTCGACAATGATGCGTCAAATTTAATTGTGTATATTATGTAAGAGTTTTTTTGTTTTTTTGTTTGTGTATGTGCATGGTGTTAGTGTGTGTGTGTGTGTGTGTGTGTGTGCGAGTGCATGTGTTTGGAGCGCTTATTGAATTATGACTTGTATGCTGGTAGTAATTAACATTTCATGGCAGCCTTGAAAATATATATTGCAGTACATGATTTAACAGTAGTTGGGAGATTATTCCATACGTCAGGGCCATGGTGTCGGATAGATTTATGCGCCATTAGCAATAGTAGGTTTATCAAATGAAAGTTCTGCAGCTACAAGGTATGTCGCATCATCAACATGAAAGTTAAAATCCCCAACAATCAACACACGATGCTTAAATGTTATTACTTGTTCCGAAAAGACGCAAATTCTATAAAGAAAGTTTGATCAGTTAGGTTGCCAGAACTAGAACGCTGTGGGCGGTAAACTGTAACCAATCTCAAAGGCAGATGGTGCTGTGCTGTAAGCAGTAGATCAAGGTATTCAAAAGAAGAGTATGACTTGTCAGGATACCTATGAATTTTGAAGCCTTTCCTAATACACACACCAACACCACCCCCTTGACGACCATTGCATGGATTGTGATACCACTTATGGCTAAGGAGAGTTGATGTCAAATCAGCAAGGGATGGATCATCGCGATCATCACTTGAAAGCCATGTTTCTGTTACGGCCAAAATGTCAATATGATCATCAATAACCAAATCACATAACATTGGAACTTTGAGCTTTATCGATCTTGCGTTTCATAATGCAAAGTTTGATAGTGTATCTTTACAGTTTATGTCAACTTCTGGGATAGACATCTGGTCACGATGTTTTCCTCCCTAATATCCTCTTTTGGTCCGAGGTTTTGAGCATATATCAAGGTCATTAATTGTTTTCCAGACAGACCCATCTACTCGGAGACGAGAAATGTTTAAATCATGCAATGTTTTCCTATCATATCTGAATTTGTTCTCTAAACTGACAGTGTCAGTCTGTTGAACATTGTAATTAAAATTGTGCATCTGGTCCTGAACAGCCTTAACGGTTGGACCTAGATTTGGTTCAATGTCACCACACAATATGTCACCAGTTGTACTTGAAAGGTGCAGTCTATTCGTCTGTAGTATGGTATTCTTCAGCCAACATATTGACTCACAGTGGAAGCATGATGGTGTAATTCAGTAAAGCTTTTCACAAAGCATTAATGATTAGCCTGCTCATCGCTGAACAGGAGGCCAAGGATTACCAAGAGAACATGAATGGATGCCATTGTCCATTCAAGACTCAACTACCATTGTAAAAGTTAGCACTGTGGGCTAGCTACATGTAGCACGGCTTACTATATAAGATTGACCTGTATGTAGAAGAAAATGGACACCAACTTGAATCCCAAAACAGAAATGTTCAAAAACTTGTTTCACAGAATATGATGCAGCACATTCAGGAATTCCAACAAAATTTGTCTAGGAAGTTCAGTGTCCCTTCTGCAAATAGATTGACGAGCAAATCAATCAAAAATGATGACCAAATGCAGCATATAAAGCAATAGAATAGGAGAGGAGTCAAGCAGCTGTCAGGCGCTCGGCATAAGAAAGGTAGTCCTCTTCATCTCTTCCTCAGTACCTAAAATGCTAAACAGTGAGGAACTATTGCATTCACTTGCTACGAGTTGATGCAGTTAAGTGTCCATGTGAAATGTTTCTTAAAAATAAATAATATCAAGATCAGTTCTGTATTTCAAACTTTACATCATGTTTTACCAAATTTACTTCGAAACGGGCGGGAAACAGGCGGCTTCAGCACCATATGCTTTCTAGAAGACAAAAAGAACGAATACATAAATAAAATCTTATATTTTTGAACGGGTCTTTTTTGAATTTCTCACCTTCCTCCTGTGTTCCTTTGCCAGTATTTTGCACTGATGGGGATATTTTCGTTGCTCCTAACGATGTGTTTAGCGCCATTGCAAAAAGAGATATGAGCTTCGATTTGAGTTACACATTTCCTACCATTCTCTTCTGTTTGTCGATCACAACATTATCATGTCTCAATCGTTATCACAAATGTTAAAGCTATTTGCACACTGGAGTAAATTGGCTGCGGATTTGCGATGGACCGGTATACTGAAAGTGTTGGCAATTAGCTCGCTAATGGTATATACCAGCGAGATCAAATATTGCAAACGCGTGGGTAATCATGAGCAGCTCGATCAGCTAGCAAAATAAATTAAAGTGTATTTGATTTTCTTGATTCCCGTAGTGGTTGAAACTCCGACAATGGGCATGAACTTGACATCCATAACAATTTCAATTCCTATATAGATCAAGTGATTAATGTCAAATAAAATTGAGCAGCACATCATCTATCATGATCATGATCATTCACGCCAGTGCGGACGCAATCACTGTCACAACAATATACCGGCGCAGTGCATAATATAGTCCAGCCATTGAAGGGACATTGTCATGTAGGAGGGAGGAGGGCACTAGTTTAATCGCGCTATTAAATCAAAAGATCAATGACAAGGCTACCGATTAGCCGGAGGGGTCTTATCATCTTTTCACCCTCTCCTTTCATTCTTTCTCTGTCTCTCCCTTTCCCTCGATTTTGTTGGGTGTAATTTCATGTAGAGGGGAGAGGGGGGTGGGAGGCATGTGCCCCCAATACCCCCTAGTAGCTAATCATCTTCGCTGATTGATTATTATGCTTCATAATTATATAGGACCATCAAGGTATCTCTTGACATATGATCGAACTTGATCATTTTATGCTGGTCACGGCTCTTTCATTTAAAAATAAATAAATGGGTACATAATTGCTGGAGCACAAATCTTGAAATTAGGGGCGTCGTCAGAGGAAATGTGGGGATGTAGGAATATGACGCCCCCCCCCAACTCCCATTTAACAGTTGTCTGTCTGCAAATACCGTGTTTAAACAAAAAAAAACTATTGGCCAAATAATCAGAACCAACGTATCGTCTTTTCTTTTCTGTTCTTCTTTTTTTCCAACTAAACCTGATCGGTAAATTAATTGTAGTTCGCCACACTCTCCCATTCAAACGGCCCATCAATGACATGCGTACGTTAAACAGAATTGCGATCAATAAATCAATGCACCTTCAAGACATCTTTTGTCAAATGGCTTCATTTGCATGATAATTAAGTGTGATGTAAGTTCATTTGCAAGAGAGTGTCCAACCAACGACCAAGAATGGTTCGTTTCTCTTCATCCATAACCACACAGTCTCTACTACGAAAGAAGCCTATCTGCGATATCTCTTGAATGGCTGTGTTGAATAAAGTTGATAGAGATACCCCTTTTTCATCAAATTGATGATAATGTTACCGCCATAGAACTTTGTTATAAGGGATACGGTTCCCAAATATTTCTGACCAAAAGAAAAAACAACTTCTTTTCTTATTTTTTCATTTCCCTCTGTGTGGATGTTTGGAATATTCCAAAATATGAGATGATTAAGTAACAGAACACCCCCCCCCCCCCTCCTGATCCACCCCACGAAAAAACCCAGACACAGTGTTCTATTTACAATCTGTATTGGGCTGCGCAGTTGTTCTCTCCTCCTCTTTGGAGGGAAATTTTGCAACCCCACTCCCCCCAGATTCATGGAGACGACACTGAATGTAATTGCAGTATGTGGTCCACTTTAAGCCACTTATAGAGTCAGACAATATTGCATTTGCCTGTTTACTGATCATCACAAATTTAAAAAACATTTCAGAGTTTTTTATTGCTTTTACTTACTGAAAGCTTCAGGTTGCCATGCCCTTGAATATCTTGAAATTAGAGAAAGTGTTTTGACAAACATTATCTTCTCGATCCTGGACCAATCGATGTCATCCATGACGGTGGTGGCGTCATGTTAATCTGATGATCATAATGTCTATATGATTTGTCTAGAGTTAAGATGGAACCTTCACTCATACCGACTGCTTGCTAGGGGATCATGTCTTTTTGGCTAATGTGGTTTTGGGCCATTTAATCATCTTTGTTTGACTTGATAAATTCAACATTTGATATTTGATTGATTTTGCAATATGTTATCAATTTGAATGATCTAATATCAAATGTCACGCTATAATTACCCGCTGTACATAGAGATTTTGATAAGTTCAATTGGTTTGTTTAAAGTGCCTGAAAGTCTCTTCTATTAATCAAACCTGCCTGATTTGCTGAGTGTAATTGGTGTACATAGATAGTACGTGCTGAATTAGGCATTTAATTTTGTTCACATCGTTAAGGTTCGTTCAAATATGACACGGTGAAGTGGAGAATCACCGCCGCAAAAAAATAGATTTTTTAGTGTAAATAATTGGCAACAGCGAGCTACAAAGACCCTGCGTGTAATTACTTTTTTCTATGTTACGTTACAAGATACAGAATTGTGACGCGTCAAGATTGCGCCATACATCGAGTCATAAAAAAACGCCACGGTTATGCCGCACCATGACATGATCAGGGGTCTGTTTCACAAAGCCTTTTTTCAATGACAAATGACAAAAATCAGTGACAAATCTGTTGATAACCGATCAAAAGCAAGGATTTGAATAGCTTATAAAAAAGACTGTCATTTGTCGCTGATGACAAGTTTGGTGAAACGCCCACCTGAACATGGATCTGAACGAGGCTTTAGTGCATGGAACTCCAGACCACACACTCAAGATAAATGACACTTGCATCCTTTTTTGTTTGTTTTTGGTTCATATTTTATTCCTCCAAATAAACAGGGAAAAACATCAATAACAATTTCGTGAACATAATTATACATCAAAAACATGGTTGTTGAATTACATGTATGTTCGCATACACACACGCACACACCATACGCACTATCACGCTGCAAATCTGAGTGCATATACGTTTTAATTCGACGCCCCATCCCTCCCCCAACCTGGTTTGGGAAGGATTGCACCTATTTGAAGTTCCTCATACCCTTATCCAACATAATCCCAATATACACCTTTGTCAACGAACGCCGTCAACACGAAATAAATGTAGACAATTTCACAGTGTAGGAGTGTATTGACGAAATAAAAAAAATCTATACATCCTAACAGTCAATGCGCAACTTTTTAGTTAAATATTGTCCACCCACGATGTGGGGAGATTAACTTTTTCAGTTGCTAACAATATGGATTGCTGCTTTAATTATAATTATTCTTTCATGGAGATAATGTAGTGTCGTACAATGTGTCAAAAATTAATAATTGTCCTATTCATAACTTGGCGTTACTCGGTTGTCATTCTGAATGGGAATGAATAATCTCAACCCAGACCTGCCTTAAAGGGACTAGATAATACTAGATGAGAGAAAATGACGCTAAGGTAGTGACTTCAATAAGCTAGATGTACAATGATAATTTGAAAGTTTGAGTGAAACCGCCATTATTAATGATACAAACTTGGAAAAAACTGATCTGATCGATTCCTTAATTCTCCCAAGTATATTATTATAATTCAATTTAATTGGCTCTATATACCATTACAGACATTATTTTAAGCGTTGAAAGATTTAAAAAAAAAATGTTTTATGTATTATTTTCATGGTAAAACGGTTGGGAAAGTTCAAAAATGGTTGGAAGAATTACTATTAGAGGGTGTTGCACAGTGACGCCTTCAAAGAAAACTGTAGATGTCTTTGTGTTTTGCAAATTTTTCAGGATATTTTGCATGTTAAAGGGTAAGTACATTAGAAGGAATATAATAAGTAACATTTCATTAAAAAATTACACAGTTTTTTTTCATCTTTAACCTTCAACAATGTTACCGAGTCACTTTAAATGGTTACCCGGTAGAATACGAAAGTCAAATGTAGTTTGCACAGCATTGTGAGAGTTTGTAAAAAATATAAAAAACTTTAAAAAAGCCTGGCTGGAATGCTCCCCTAGGAGTGGAGAATGTGCATTCATTGTGAGTGGGCAAGCCTGTATCAGAATGACTGATGTGATAACATATCGGTACAGCGCTTAGACACATCGTCGATTTATTACTTTACTTTACTTTACTTTAATACACGATGTTGTACGTCTAAGGGTGCGGTTATCGTGTCTTGCCACTATATATCGGACCCACTATCGAACCCCACTGATTTGCGGGATGTCGCGTTTATCGTCTCTTCACGATTCAAAATAAAGGCCTTGTCTCTGCGCAGCTGTTTTGCGCCGTTTGACCCGGGAAGCAGACAGTTTCTCGGAGGTCAACTACACACACATGCTTGTACACAACACATGGCGCGCGCTAGCCTCCGAACCGGAAATTAACATGGGAAGGTCCGATTTGTACGTGGGGTTCAAAACAGCTTTGCGTTTATCATCTCTCAGAAACGTGATTCTGGCTGTATGTCACATTCAAAACACACCTTTTTCGACGTTACAATATGCCCATATCTAAATACGTTTGAAAAAGGCTTTGCGTGTATCACCTTAAAAAATTGCCTGAAAGACGTTTGAGAAACCTGATTCTAGGTAAAAAGTTGGTCAATAAGCGCACCTTAAGCCTGTTAATCGATCCATGATTCTTCTATGGTTACTGCTATTTGTGGAGGGAGGAGATTGCGTGCTAACATGAGCAGCAGACAACACCTGGACCGGCTCATACAGAAGGCTTGCATTCTTTGATTAGTGACTATCAAGTCTATTCTTAAATGAGTTGACCGACCCAGCTGCCACAACGTTATCTCGGAGACTGTTCCACAGCTCCACAACTCTATTGCTAAAAAAGAACATTTTCTAATATCTAGCGCTATATTAGCCCAGAATATAATTATTTCTATCATAACAGTCCATTCATCCCTGTCCTCATTCAGTAGGGTTGAAACGTTAAAATGACGGATGCCATGTCCAAACATGCTGGTATATCTTTGCCGAATATCACTGACCAGATACTATGTGTACATACAAAACAGAATAAAAATATGGTCATGTAAAATTCGTTTGGAAGTTGATACACGTGACACAAATTAGAGGAAGTAGACTTTAGGCGACGAATGCTAAAGAACGTACATTTTCATCAACAAAAACCGAAATGTGGAAAATAAATTGGAGAAGATATAATGTTAAGGATGAAGCAAAGAAAAAAGGTAACAAGGTATTTTATATACAGTAATGGTTTATATTAAAAAAATGATGTGGATCCTGCTGCAATCTGTCAATATTCCCGTACAAATGCAAAGTAGAAAGGAGCTTCGAGGCGCCCTGCCTGGAGAAGAGAAACTAATTTATTTTCTATACCTAGTCCATTCCATTTTTCTCATCTCTGCTCGAGCTCCTTCCGTCATAATTATTAGGTCTGTTTCAGAACTTACTAAATTAGCAAATTAACTTACCGAATTGGCGCGCCGAAATTTTATCGTTCAGACAATACATACTGCTCCAATATGACCCTAAAAACGATTTCACACAACCATTTTGTTCCCGGTGAAG